GCTCTACCATCCCCAAGTATGATGCTCCACCATCCCCAAGTGTGATGCTCTACCATCCCCAAGTATGATGCTCTACCATCCCCAAGTGTGATGCTCTACCATCCCCAAGTATGATGCTCTACCATCCCCAAGTATGATGCTCTACCATCCCCAAGTATGATGCTCTACAATCCCCAAGTGTGATGCTCTACCATCCCCAAGTATGATGCTCTACCATCCCCAAGTATGATGCTCTACCATCTCCAAGTATGATGCTCTACCATCCCCAAGTATGATGCTCTACCATCTCCAAGTATGATGCTCTACCATCCCCAAGTGTGATGCTCTACCATCCCCAAGTGTGATGCTCTACCATCCCCAAGTATGATGCTCTACCATCCCCAAGTATGATGCTCTACCATCCCCAAGTATGATGCTCCACCATCCCCAAGTGTGATGCTCTACCATCCCCAAGTATGATGCTCTACCATCCCCAAGTATGATGCTCTACCATCTCCAAGTCTGATGCTCTACCATCCCCAAGTGTGATGCTCTACCATCCCCAAGTGTGATGCTCTACCATCCCCAAGTATGATGCTCTACCATCCCCAAGTATGATGCTCTACCATCTCCAAGTATGATGCTCTACCATCTCCAAGTATGATGCTCTACCATCTCCAAGTATGATGCTCTACCATCCCCAAGTGTGATGCTCTACCATCCGCAAGTGTGATGCTCTACCATCCCCAAGTATGATGCTCTACCATCCCCAAGTATGATGCTCCACCATCCCCAAGTGTGATGCTCTACCATCCCCAAGTATGATGCTCTACCATCCCCAAGTATGATGCTCTAACATCCCCAAGTATGATGCTCTACCATCTCCAAGTCTGATGCTCTACCATCCCCAAGTGTGATGCTCTACCATCCCCAAGTGTGATGCTCTACCATCCCCAAGTATGATGCTCTACCATCCCCAAGTATGATGCTCTACCATCCCCAAGTGTGATGCTCTACCATCCCCAAGTGTGATGCTCTACCATCTCCAAGTATGATGCTCTACCATCCCCAAGTATGATGCTCTACCATCCCCAAGTATGATGCTCCACCATCCCCAAGTGTGATGCTCTACCATCCCCAAGTGTGATGCTCTACCATCCCCAAGTATGATGCTCTACCATCCCCAAGTATGATGCTCTACCATCTCCAAGTATGATGCTCTACCATCCCCAAGTATGATGCTCTACCATCTCCAAGTATGATGCTCTACCATCCCCAAGTATGATGCTCTACCATCCCCAAGTGTGATGCTCCACCATCCCCAAGTGTGATGCTCTACCATCTCCAAGTATGATGCTCTACCATCCCCAAGTATGATGCTCTACCATCCCCAAGTATGATGCTCCACCATCCCCAAGTATGATGCTCTACCATCCCCAAGTATGATGCTCTACCATCCCCAAGTATGATGCTCTACCATCCCCAAGTATGATGCTCCACCATCCCCAAGTGTGATGCTCTACCATCCCCAAGTATGATGCTCTACCATCCCCAAGTATGATGCTCTACCATCTCCAAGTATGATGCTCTACCATCCCCAAGTATGATGCTCTACCATCCCCAAGTATGATGCTCTACCATCTCCAAGTATGATGCTCTACCATCCCCAAGTGTGATGCTCTACCATCCCCAAGTATGATGCTCTACCATCCCCAAGTATGATGCTCTACCATCTCCAAGTATGATGCTCTACCATCCCCAAGTATGATGCTCTACCATCCCCAAGTATGATGCTCCACCATCCCCAAGTGTGATGCTCTACCATCCCCAAGTGTGATGCTCTACCATCCCCAAGTATGATGCTCTACCATCCCCAAGTATGATGCTCTACCATCCCCAAGTATGATGCTCTACCATCCCCAAGTGTGATGCTCTACCATCCCCAAGTGTGATGCTCTACCATCCCCAAGTATGATGCTCTACCATCCCCAAGTATGATGCTCTACCATCCCCAAGTATGATGCTCTACCATCCCCAAGTGTGATGCTCTACCATCCCCAAGTGTGATGCTCTACCATCCCCAAGTATGATGCTCTACCATCCCCAAGTATGATGCTCCACCATCCCCAAGTGTGATGCTCTACCATCCCCAAGTATGATGCTCTACCATCTCCAAGTATGATGCTCTACCATCCCCAAGTATGATGCTCTACCATCCCCAAGTATGATGCTCTACCATCCCCAAGTATGATGCTCTACCATCCCCAAGTGTGATGCTCTACCATCCCCAAGTGTGATGCTCTACCATCCCCAAGTATGATGCTCTACCATCCCCAAGTGTGATGCTCTACCATCCCCAAGTATGATGCTCTACCATCCCCAAGTATGATGCTCCACCATCCCCAAGTGTGATGCCCTACCATCCCCAAGTATGATGCTCTACCATCTCCAAGTATGATGCTCTACCATCCCCAAGTATGATGCTCTACCATCCCTAAGTATGATGCTCTACCATCCCCAAGTATGATGCTCTACCATCCCCAAGTGTGATGCTCTACCATCCCCAAGTGTGATGCTCTACCATCCCCAAGTGTGATGCTCTACCATCCCCAAGTGTGATGCTCTACCATCCCCAAGTATGATGCTCTACCATCTCCAAGTATGATGCTCTACCATCTCCAAGTATGATGCTCCACCATCCCCAAGTGTGATGCTCTACCATCCCCAAGTATGATGCTCTACCATCTCCAAGTATGATGCTCTACCATCCCCAAGTATGATGCTCTACCATCCCCAAGTATGATGCTCTACCATCCCCAAGTGTGATGCTCTACCATCCCCAAGTGTGATGCTCTACCATCCCCCCAAGTATGATGCTCTACCATCTCCAAGTATGATGCTCTACCATCTCCAAGTATGATGCTCCACCATCCCCAAGTGTGATGCTCTACCATCTCCAAGTATGATGCTCTACCATCCCCAAGTATGATGCTCTACCATCCCCAAGTATGATGCTCTACCATCCCCAAGTATGATGCTCTACCATCCCCAAGTATGATGCTCTACCATCCCCAAGTGTGATGCTCTACCATCCCCAAGTATGATGCTCTACCATCCCCAAGTATGATGCTCTACCATCCCCAAGTATGATGCTCTACCATCCCCAAGTGTGATGCTCCACCATCCCCAAGTGTGATGCTCTACCATCTCCAAGTATGATGCTCTACCATCCCGAAGTATGATGCTCTACCATCCCCAAGTATGATGCTCTACCATCCCCAAGTGTGATGCTCTACCATCTCCAAGTATGATGCTCTACCATCCCCAAGTGTGATGCTCTACCATCCCCAAGTATGATGCTCTACCATCCCCAAGTATGATGCTCTACCATCCCGAAGTGTGATGCTCTACCATCTTCAAGTATGATGCTCTACCATCCCCAAGTATGATGCTCTACCATCCCCAAGTATGATGCTCTACCATCCCCAAGTATGATGCTCTACCATCCCCAAGTGTGATGCTCTACCATCCCCAAGTGTGATGCTCTACCATCCCCAAGTATGATGCTCCACCATCCCCAAGTATGATGCTCTACCATCCCCAAGTATGATGCTCTACCATCCCCAAGTATGATGCTCTACCATCCCCAAGTGTGATGCTCTACCATCTCCAAGTATGATGCTCTACCATCCCCAAGTGTGATGCTCTACCATCCCCAAGTATGATGCTCCACCATCCCCAAGTATGATGCTCTACCATCCCCAAGTATGATGCTCTACCATCCCCAAGTGTGATGCTCTACCATCCCCAAGTATGATGCTCTACCATCCCCAAGTATGATGCTCCACCATCCCCAAGTGTGATGCTCTACCATCTCCAAGTATGATGCTCTACCATCCCGAAGTATGATGCTCTACCATCCCCAAGTATGATGCTCTACCATCCCCAAGTGTGATGCTCTACCATCTCCAAGTATGATGCTCTACCATCCCCAAGTATGATGCTCCACCATCCCCAAGTGTGATGCTCTACCATCCCCAAGTGTGATGCTCTACCATCCCCAAGTATGATGCTCTACCATCCCCAAGTATGATGCTCCACCATCCCCAAGTGTGATGCTCTACCATCCCCAAGTATGATGCTCCACCATCCCCAAGTGTGATGCTCTACCATCTCCAAGTATGATGCTCTACCATCCCGAAGTATGATGCTCTACCATCCCCAAGTATGATGCTCTACCATCCCCGAGTGTGATGCTCTACCATCTCCAAGTATGATGCTCTACCATCCCCAAGTATGATGCTCTACCATCCCCAAGTGTGATGCTCTACCATCCCCAAGTATGATGCTCTACCATCCCCAAGTATGATGCTCTACCATCCCGAAGTGTGATGCTCTACCATCTTCAAGTATGATGCTCTACCATCCCCAAGTATGATGCTCTACCATCCCCAAGTATGATGCTCTACCATCCCCAAGTATGATGCTCTACCATCCCCAAGTGTGATGCTCTACCATCCCCAAGTGTGATGCTCTACCATCCCCAAGTATGATGCTCTACCATCCCCAAGTATGATGCTCTACCATCCCCAAGTATGATGCTCTACCATCCCCAAGTATGATGCTCTACCATCCCCAAGTGTGATGCTCTACCATCTCCAAGTATGATGCTCTACCATCCCCAAGTATGATGCTCTACCATCCCCAAGTATGATGCTCTACCATCCCCTTCCCCTGTTCTCTCTCCCCCATTATCGCATCTCTCAACTCGCCCTCCCGCCCAATTCTCTCCTCCCGCTCCTCCCCCCGCGCCCACACCAGCTCTGCCCACTTTCGTGAGCATGTGCCTCTCGGTGCTTCTCTGTGCCTCTCTGTGCCCGCAGCTCATTCCTCACCGCATCTGCTCCCGCCTCTCTCTTTTGGCTGTCTCTAGCTGCACCTCCCTTCACCGCATTTCATTAACCTTCTCCCATCCACCTGCCCCTCGTCCACCCCCCTCTCCCCCCGGTGGTACATGGCAGTCCTTTGGACCTCAGCAACAGCCCCCCGCACCCTGCAGCACAGGCACCAGCCCACCCTGCCAGCACTGCTGCTGCCGCCATGCAAGCAGCAGGGGACCCTGCACTGGCAGGTGCCACAGCAGGAGCAGGAGCAGCAGCAGTGGGGGCAGGCAGTGCTGCAGACGTGGCAACAGCTGCAGCAAAATCATCAGCAGCGTCCGGAAACCGCGTCTCCTCTTCAGCCCAGCCCCATGTGCTCCCTCACTCACTCCCCTCCCTGCCACCGTACCCTTCCCTCCCTTCCACACTCCCCCACTCCACCTTCCACTCCTCTTCAGCCTCTCCTTATGAGTCGACTCAGCAATCCCCTTCAGCCTCTCCCCACACCCCACCCCTCCCCAGCAGACCCACTCCTCCTCCCACTCTTCCCCTACCCCAGTCCATCCCCGCTGCTTCTCCCCCCCCACTCTCCACTACCCCCCCTCCGGCTGGGCCCAACCCCCAAGCCCCACCTACTCCCGTGCATATGTCTGCTGCCACTGCCACTGCTGCTGCCCCTGCCTCGTCTCGTCCCGCCTCGTCCACCCCTGCTGCCATGGCTGCCGTCCTCACAGGCAGTACTGTGCCGCCCTCTGCTTCTCCCTCCGCCCCTCTGCCCCCTGCTGCCTCCTCCTCCGCCTTCCGTGCCTCTGCTCTCGCCCCACCCGCCATACCCACTACTGCCCCTGTCTCTCCTGCTGCCCCCTCTGCTGCTGCCACTGCCACTCGCACTACTGGGACTGCTGCATATGGTAACCAGGCTGCCATGGTACATGGTAACCAGGCTGCCATGGTACACGGTAACCAGTCTACCATGTCACAGACTGCCATGGGACACGGCAACCAGACTGCGACAGCACACAGTAACCAGACTGTTATGGCACATGGTAACCAGAGTGCGTTTGCACATGGTCATGCGGGAAGCATGGCGGCAGTATCCATGCATGCACATGGCCGCTCATCTCCCCATGGGGTGCCTCATGCCTATGCTGCTCCACATGCTCATGCCCATCCACATCCCCATGCACACGCATACAACCATGCGTACGCCCACGCTCACATGCATGCGCACACCCACGGCCACATGCCGCAGTCAGCCGTGCCGTTCTCCCAGTCGCCTGCGCATGCGCGCCCCCATGCCACCGCCCCGCCAATGGCCGCCTCGCCGCACGCCCCCCGAGGACTCCTACCCCTGCGCTTGGGGCGAGTGGAGCGGCAGCTCCAGCGCCAGGTGCAGGCGCTCGCACTGCGCTGGTGGGGGTGGGGGTGGGGGAGGTGGTGGTCGGTGGTGCATTTGGTGGTCGCGGGGGCAGTGGGGGTGTGCAGGGCGGCAGAGGAAGGGGACCGGAGATGGCAGGAGGCACAGCGCAAGCAGCAAGGCAGCAGCTCCTCACAGGTGTGGTGCCGTGGCTTGCCATGAGCATAAGTGTGCAGCTGTATGGTGTGCTTTCCGCACCATGCTTCCTGCTTTCATGGTGCACACCTTTCAAAATCCTAGGCCCTTCACCCGCTCCCTGTATTCCTCTGGCCCCAGCTTTTGTCCTTCTTTTCCGTGTTCGTCTGGCTCCCCGCCCCGAACAGTGCCAGAAGTCTGTCACGAGTGCCGCAGCACAGAGGGCCAGCCATGCGCCAGCAGCAACAGCAGCAGCAACAACAACACCAACGGCAGCAGCAAGCAGCAGAAGCAGCAGGCATCACCAACAGCAGCAGCAACAGCAACGGCAACAGCAGCATCAGCATCAGCAGCAGCGTCAGCAGCAGCATCAGCAACAGCAACAGCAGCAGGCATTTCCAGCAGCAGTACCCCCATAGGCCAGGGCATTCTCAACCTGCCAGCAGTTTAGCACCATCTGTTTCCCCATCAGCACCCCCCTTTACCTGCTGTGCCTGCTGTGCCTGCCACAGTGCCTGCTGTGCCTGCCACGGTGCCTGCTGTGCCTGCTGTGCCTGCTGTGCCTGCTGTGCCTGCAACGCTGCCTGCTGTGGCTGCCACAGCACCTCTCATGCCTCCCACCCTTCCAACTGCTACAAGCCAACGCTTGTCAGGCTCCCCTTCACTGCCCATCCCCCCCACTCCCCGCATCCCCGTCTCTCCCCACTCCCCCCTCCCTCCACTCGGCAAGGACTGTGGTTTCCCCGCCTCATGCCACTGCACCCCATGCTCTTCCCTCGCTCCCTGCCACCTCCACCCCTCCCCTCTCTGCGCTGTCTCCAGCTCCAGTTACCGTGCCTGCCAGTGCTGCCACCCCTGCCGGTGCTGCCGTGCCTGCCAGTGCTGCACCTGCCAATGCCCCCTCCGCTGTCACTGCTGCCGCTGCAACAGTTTCCTCTGCAAAGCGTCCCCCCTCACCCCCCCTGCCCCTGCGCCATTGGCACCTGCTTTTCCCCCTCTCCGCGCATTACTATCCCCCTCCCAACATCCTGCTGTCTCCCCCTCCCACCCACCTCCTTTTTCCCTGGGCCGTGGAAGCAGCAGTCAGGCGGCGATTGCAGGAGGGTGAGGCAGAGGCAGGGGTATGCAAGTGGCAGCCGTGGCACGGACAGGGGCACCGGCCCTAGTGGCAGCTGCAGCAGCACCGGCAGCAGCAGCAGTGCATGCAAGGGCAGCACCACTACCACAAGCAGCATCAGCATTGCCACACGCAGCAGCAGCAGCAGCAGTAGCACATTTACCAGCAGCTCCGGACAAGCACGAGCAGCAGCAGGCAGCAGTGGCAGTGCAAATGTGAGTCACATGCCTGTGCAGCAACTGCCCGGCCACGTAAGATCAGCAAGTGCGCCGATGCATGCAGGAACAGCACCAGCGACGCATGCAGCAGCAGCCACACGCACAGCAGCTGCACCCACAACGGCTGCAACGGTAGCAGCAGTGCCACAAGCAACAGCAGCTCCAAGAGGCGGATATACTCCTGCCCAGGCAAAGCCACAGCAAGTCTCGCCGAGGCAATCAGTGCCGAACCAAGCAGTGCCGAGCCAAGCAGTCCCGAGCCAAGCAGTGCCGAGCCAAGCAGTGCCGATCCAAGCAGTGCCGAGCCAAGCCGTGCCGAGCCAAGCCGTGCCGAGGCAGGGCATGGCACGGGCTGCTGTGGCAG